CCTCCAGCTTCTCGTCCTCTTTTTTGTAATCCCCTTCTCCACTGCGGCCCCTCCCCGGCACCTAACCCCCCCCCCCCACTTTTTTATATCATCTTTATGGCTTTGGAATTATCTGGGCTGACACCGCATTCGCTTAGCCAAGGGCAGGTGGGGTCACAGGAGACAACTGAGTCCTACGCGGGTCTATTCATGGGTCTGAAAAGAGAGCGGCCCCACCCATCCCTAGCGGGGAAGGGGGGTAAGGAAGTCGACTGGAGAACAGGCTGGGGACGCAGTGACAACCAAACTGGGCAGACAACAGATGCTGAGGGCCAGAAACAGCTGTGGCTAAGCCTCTTCGATCAGGAAGATCATCTGAGGTTCAAAGAGGCACTCAATGGCAAAGAAACTGAGTTTTAAATTTTTTTTCTTTTAAGTTTTAGAGATGGGGAGGTCTTGCTATGTTGCCCAGTCTGGATTCGATCCCTTGGCCTCAAATGATCTTCCTGCCTCAGCCTCCTGAGTAGCTGGGACTATAGATGCCTGCCACCATGCCAGGCTCAAGGAACTGAGTTTTATCTTGAATTCTTCCCCCCTCCCGCCCTCCCTGTCTCCCTCCTTTTCTTCTTTCAGCAACAGACCTCAAGTTTCAGAACGTGGGTTTAGGTGCCACATGGTCTGAGTCCTGGCTTTTGCAGGCTGTGTGACACTGGGCCAGTGACTTCACCTCTCTGGGCTTCAGTTTCCCCCTCCATGGACCAGGGACACGTATAAAGCCCGTTCAATCCATAGTCTGAGGGTTGGATGAAGAAATGAATAGAAGTGCCTGGCTGCTTGCTGGATGCACAGTCAGGAAGGCATCCTCGCTGCCTGTTACTGTGTCTATCCCTTTTGCATGCGTCTCGGGTACCAGTGGGCACAGGGCTGACTCGCACAGCCCCTGCCCCCAAAGGTGCCCGCTGACATGAAAGACTGGCCCTCGTAAGCTGCTCCAAGCTATGTTTTTAAAGTAGTGTTTTCTGTCCGGACAGGAACACAGGCGTGTTCCCAGCGCTCCAAAGAGAAGCGACACCGAACTCAAGAAGCAGAGACATTAGGGGTGATTATTCCCATCACAAAAGGACGTGCTGCAGGGATTCTTGAAGAGGCAGGTCCTCTAGCTCAGGCAGTGGAGACTGGGACCATCGCTGGGGCCTGCGTTGCCCTGGCTCCCCCACAGAGCCTGGAGCCCGTAAAGGTGGGGAAATGAAGCACAGCCCAGTCTGAGACAGGAGCTCTGGGCTGGGCTGCCGTGGCAGGCGGCTTCCCCTCTCTGAGCCTCCGTGTCCCCCCATGACTGGACAGGATCACATCTCTGCAGGCCCCCACCCAGGACAAGATCCCCCCTTGCTCCCCACAGGCCTCTCTGCTCCCTCTCTGCCCCATAGCTTCCTTCTCCACATCACAGCCCCAGGGATCTTCCCAGACCCCCCATCAGTTCTCCCGACTGAAACCCTCCAGAGGTGTCCCTGTCCTTGAAACCTTCCAGGCTCTGCATGGCCAAGCTCTTCTCAGCTGTGCCCCTTCCTACCTGGCTCCTGCGTCTCACCACAGTGCCTTGCTGCCTCAGGGCCTTTGAGCCTGCTGGTTTTTCCCGGAACGCTTTGCCCCAGGTCCCCTG